GAGAGGTTGCAGGTGCACTTGGTTTCCCACACAGCTCCTGCACGTCTGGAGATAGCAGCAGCAGTGGGAGTTCAGCTGTCACATCTGACCATAGCAGCCCCGTGGTGGATGTGAGGATGATAGATTTTGCCCACACCACCTGCAGACATTACGGAGAGGACAGTGTGGTCCATGAGGGTCAGGACAGTGGCTACATCTTTGGTCTCCAGAACCTCATCACCATCATCTCTGAGCTGGAGAACCACAGCAACGACTGAGGAGCTGACACACACAGTAACACATTCTGTGGTCGATGCAAGGAGAGATCAGCGGTCTAACACCTCAGATGGAGATGTAGTCAAAGATACTGGTCCTGTTTCAAACATAGGTTCTTCTAGATATCCCGACGTTTGTTTGTCTCGTATACAGAACACTGACCTGCGTCTGACCTTCGATGAAGGTGTCTCTGTGTTTTAACACCCTTTGCCGTTAGACAAATGCAAGGCAGGAATCAAAAGAAGTAGTTTGGATTTTTGTCCCATTCCAAAGAGAGTGTAAGCAACATGAACGCACAAACTGTGAACTGCAGAGTCTTCAAACTGATACAAGGGTATCAGAGAAGCTGCATGTGTTCAAGGACTGAGTCGATATGTAGACTGACGGCAGTCATCACGTCCATCCTGTCACTGACTGAGAGGAAAATCATGTAAGAATCAGAAGCGAAAGAGATTACTATAAAATAGTTATTTATTTATCCGACTTGTTTCATAAAATAAACTAAAAGTTTAAGAATGATGTGGATGGAGAGTACTACATTCCATGTTAATTAATGTTACAATAATGATATTAATGAATATTGTTATTTGACATGTTGGGATACCTCTGTCCTGTGTGTCTGGGTGTTCACAGTCCGTTGAAGGAGAAAATTAAACTCTGGCTTGTGGTAATGTTTGTGTCCTCTCTTCTCTGTGCTGTGGCTGTGAGTGGAGGAAAATGGAAGTGGAGGTTCTCTGGGAGATGGTTTTAATGTCGGTTTGTTGAGGGAGGAGGAAGCAATTATTGTCACATCCAGTTCATTAAAGGGAGCAGCTACAGTTACTGGAACCCTGTGATCTTCACACCTGCGACAACAACAAAATGCGTGTCCCATGCAGAAACCAGGGCTCGGCTGCCTTTGTCCAGCATGGACACTCAGGTGTTGTGTTGTGGATATTGACCTGATACTTGACTTTTACCACATTTGAATTTTGTGTGCACAAGCAGGTTTTTCGTTCTCCCTTTAGCACAGTAGGTGTTGTTAAACTTTGTCATCTGAAGCCCATTTTAAACACAGGTAGAGACCTGGTGTGATGGGATGCATTGACTAACTTGTTTATAATATTTCTTTCAACCTGCTTTAAACAAAGGTCACAGGGTCATTTTAATTCTTGTTTTCCAATTGCAGCTTATAAATTGATGCTGTTTTTTAAACAAAAATATTGAAACAAGAATGTACACTAAAATAATCTGAGAGAGACTGAAGCTAAAAAAATACAAATTTATTTTTAAAAAATGTCAAAAACAGATGAAGCTGGATACACACCTGTTATAATTACAACAGTGTACTTTCAAGCTGGTTGAGAATTGTTTCCAGCTGGAGGAGAATATACAGTAGAGATAGAAACATTTCTTTATTAATAGGATTAAAAAAACTAAACAAAAACACAAAAAATATATTTGTATCAAAAATACAAATACATATTAAAATGTATGTATTGTTTACCCTTTAACAGTAACAGGAAACAATGTCCATGCTGTGTTTTATACATTACAACTATGTTGCTGTTGTTGTTGTTGTTGTTGTTGTTGTGGAGTTCTGTCAATAATACATCATGTTCCAGGACAGTTCACTGAAGGGTCAGAGTGGAAGAAGACTATAGAAGGCAGACTCTTAATCTTTAAAAGTCTAGGTCAGGGTAGACTTAAGGGGTGGACACAGCAAGAAATGTCGCTGTGTCCACCCCTTAACTCCAACAGTGTCAAAGATCATCAGTCAGTCCACGAGTATAGAACACACACAGCAATTGACTTGTCTTTGCTGAGTAATTGCAGATGAATGGAGAGGCAAATGTATAGAATAGATGAGAGGACGGAGGGATGGAGCAGATAAGCTCCTTCAGCTCCGTGTTACAACGGAGGGAGGTGAGGGGGGGGGAGTCAGTGTTGCATAACAGCCACAGGGTCAGTGGTCTGTTCTAAACCATCAAACAGATCCCATTCTGTCACTGTGTCTTGTGCAGGAATCATACGTGAACGTACATATGCTAACATGATGTACACATCTAATGTCACGTATGTGTTGTTTTGTGTATTGACTGTAACCAGTACTGCAGTATTGACAAAGACATTTTAACACAGCAATCGTGAGCATATTGTGAATTTAACTACTATATAAATGTCCATTCATCTTCTACCACTTAATCCTTCTGCCAGTGTCGCAGGGAGGAGGCTGCAGCCAATCCCAGCCGTGATTGGGTGAGGTCAGGGTACACCCTGAACAGATTACCAGTCAATCACTGGGCCACATATAGAGACAAACAACCACATTCACACTTATACCGCTATCACAGAGTAGTGTTGGGTTTAAACTAACAATATAATTAAAATGTAGTTCAAATGCAGAAGAAAAGAAAAGACAAATGTACTTGTGTGAGTATTTCTAAGTATATCACCTACATCAATGTGTTAAAATAATAATCAATAATTAAAGCAATGGTGTTTTGTTTTTGTCTTTAACACAGACACAGACTCTGTAGAGACTCTTGTACCCCGGTCCAAACATGTCACTGTAGAACACATGTACGTCCATGAGCATTCCTGTAGAAGCCTGCTGCTATATGAAGGTCGTCACTGCAAGTAGAGCAGTTGCATAACATGGGTTAAAATCACTATGGCAACAGTAGCCATCCCTGGCATTAAGTCAAAGCCACATTTACAACTACATTCACAAATATTCTGTATACGTTGTTAGTGTCATTAGATGAGCTGTAGTGATGAGCTGTAGAGAAACAATCAGTTGAAAGTATATATGAACTTTTATTGTGTTTTATTTTGGTTCAACATAGACATTATTTCTAAAAGATATATTTATTTAACCCTACAGCAAGAAAATGAATAATTTGATCCTGTATCCAGTTGACGTGTAAGTGTAAGTGTAAGTGTGTGGACAACATCTACAAATGGACATTGTTACGAGTAGAAGGATATGAAAGGACCAAGGTGTAAAACACCAACAGTGGACCATTATTAAGTGAATAATTAAAAACCTGAAAAAAAAAGATCTTTAAAATATACTCTTGGCATTTTTCACAAAAACCTAACATGATGAAAACATAAAATCATGTTTCAATGATGAAATAATAATGATGGGCCTTGTTTTGGACTTAAGTGAATTTTATTTAATTGCGATCATTCCAGGTTGTATTCACTGTTGTATAACAGCGGCACTGACGCTCTGTGCCAGCGTCTGACCCTGGAGTTGACCTGAGGCTCCAGTCGTTCCTTGGCCTGTTCACACTGTCATACTCATTTACATTTAATTTCAATAATGAGTCATGCCAAGAGCACATACCCACACCAGACATACTGTTTATACAAGCTCTATCTATCTGTCTGTCTGTCTGTCTGTCTATTTATCTATCTATCTATTGCTCATGTCAATTCATGATAATTCTGAAATGGGTGTGGATACCTTACTAATACCCAACCTATGATATAGTGCACAGGTTCTGTATTATCACTTTGTGTGTTCCTCCTCAAACCTGTTGTTCTCACAGCACACAGCACACACACACAGAAAATAAAGCTGTGTTCTGTACCGTTGCCATGAAGAGTGTTTGTTCCAGCACTGTTCTCCAAGCGGTAACAAGCAAGTGGTCCATGACTTGAAAGCTGTACTGCAACAACACTGACCTCTAGCGGTATCTAGTGAAGCAAATTCTAATGTTAATGCTAATGTTTTGTATCGTGAAAAAGTGATGCAGTACACTATTTTATAATTTTACAGGAGAAAAATACAACCTTTAATTAAGTTTTGTTCTTTTTCAGACAGGAAAATAAAAATTGTAGTTTTCTTCAGTTATCAACCATTTCAAACAACACTTCGGAAATCAGGTGATTTTATGCAGACCTTTGAACTGGGTAGCAAAGACTAATGAACCTCTAATTTTTGTGAAGTAGTTTTTATGTAAATTAAACTTCTTCATGTTGTCGAAGCATATATTTCTTACTGTCAATAATTATTAAGTCCATGCTTCATATTGTTCTGGGCATTTATGTAATTCATACCAATTGTAGATTTTTCTTTTCTCAGTAATGTATTTCTGTTTAAATATTTTCAATTCTTTTCAACTACTATGAGAAATGTCTCATAGTAGTTTACATGTCATTGGCCCTGTCTGCATACATATACTTATGTATAGAACATGTAATTGCGTAATATACATAAACACCACAAAATCGTGTTGTTGACTCTTGGATATTGGTCAAATATATGTTATCAAAGCACTGTGTTGTTTTCTCAGCCCTCGTATACATTTTAAGCACCGTGGGTTATTATTTAATTAAGAATTTCTGATAAATAAACCAAGAAAAAAGAAGAGATTTTAAAACAAAATCATGTCTTGATGGGAGGAGTCATGTGGAGGCGTTGTCGAACTATTATTTATTCTTAAGCTCTGCGCCATCTGTAGGGCTGGAGGTCTAAATACAGGTTAGATTAGCAATGGTTGTTCATACTATTATTTAAAATTAAGCAAATGTATGAGAGAGAAGAGTAATTATTGATCGAAAATAAAGTCTGAAAAACACAGACATGCGTTTCGTGTGTCTTTATTTTGACCTTTCCTGACTTTTACGGTGATTTTTTTAACGGTGATAGTTGTTATGCGAATCAAATCCCGGTTATTATTTCCAAAACAATAGTGTGAGGATTTCAACAGAGTGAAAATGGATTACGTTTATAGATAAATACAAGGCATTGATTGGGTTTTTTCAAACAGGAGTGGGCGAAGTGTTCTCATAAAGAATAGTTGGACAAACCTGAGACCATTTGTATACGTGTTTGTGTGAGAGAAGAAGTGACGTGTATTAGCGGCTCCACTGGTGACGTGTCTTTGCTGCTGAGTCTCTCTTTCCTTGCCGAGTAGCTGTGGATGGAGCCACACTGAGTCCACTCTCAGAGCACAGACTACTACCAGAAACACGCGTGGACTTGAGCTGAGGACATCATGGGGAGTACGTGTCACTTTGGTTTCTTGTTCACAACGGTTTTAGATGATCTAAAATAACTGAGCTGTTGTTTAAACCTCTGAAGAAATAACGGACACCAAGCGGTTGTAGAGAAGCTAACCGGCTAACCTTGGCTTTGCCTAGGTGGCGATTTGAATTAGTAAGAACGGACTTCAAAGTCTTTTGAGTAGATTTCCTTCCCCTGTGGGATTATAATTGTGTCATGGTTGTCTTTTGTTGTATAGGCAGCAGTGATTTCGATCTTCATGTGTTAGTTGTTTAAAATGATCTTCCTGTTTTAAGTAACTGCTTACACGGTTCGTGATTGAACGGTAGCTAATATCATGCTAACGCCACTTAGCTGTAAAACTACTCATTCAGATAAAGTCGGCGTAATAAGGAAAATAACTGTATTTTCGGCCTTTCATTGTGATTTTCGTATATTTACACCAGTATTCTTTACGTTTCATGTGTGTGCGGTAATTGCAGTGATAATTTTCGGTCAGATTTTGATGTCAAAGTCTGTGTCTGTGATTGGCACAGCTGATGATCAGTCACACCAGTGTGTGGTGCGACCGTTTATTGACTATATACATCGACGATTCGTTTATCGCAACATGGTGAATACATTTTGTGTAATGTAACCGTGTAAATTATTTGCTGGTTGAAGCCCTGTTCCCATGTTCAGCTGGCAGACGTTTAGCTGCTGGTTAGTGATGACGTAGCGTCTAAGCTTATAGGAAAGTGAACTACTTATGAACTACTTATCTGACATAAGAAAACTACATGTTAATAAATTGACTTTTTGTAACTTGAAAATGTAAAATGCTATTTTTAAATGGTCTTGTATATTAATTTAATTGTATGTTAATTTATTTTTGCAGTTAAATTTTTGGAAGTTATCAAGCCTTTCTGTGCAGTCTTGCCAGAAATTCAGAAACCAGAAAGAAAGGTAAGTTGATTGCAAGTGTTAAGAAGTGTGTTCCCTGTAAAACATTGAATATGAAACATTTTTAAAACTCTGTATCTTTGCAATTGTTGTCCTCTGACATACTGTTAAGGAAGATACAATTATTTACTTAGTCAATTTGGTCAAAGTAAATAATATATATTCACAGTAGGATCCTGTATATCAAATAAAAAGAAAACAGTTAGTTCAATATCAGAAATGTCAACCAGCTAAGGTTGAGTCATCCCTAACACTTATGTGATTTCCACACACAAAAGATGATCTTTAAATGTTTAATTCAGTCAATATTAATGAGGTAATGAAGTTGATCACAAGTTCAGTCATAAGTGGACATTTCTTGTTATTTACACTTTTCTTTTTATCAGATTCAGTTTAGAGAAAAAGTACTATGGACTGCTATCACGCTATTCATCTTCTTGGTGTGCTGCCAGGTTGGTACCTTTTCATGACAGACTTTTCATCTCATTTCTGACAATCAGTTGTTGACTTATCAACATTTTTAAATTGTTTTTCTTCTCGAATTAGATTCCACTATTTGGCATCATGTCATCAGACTCTGCAGATCCTTTCTACTGGATGAGAGTGATCCTGGCTTCCAACAGAGGTTTTTAATTTTATATTTTGAATTTACCTCTGTTTTATCTTTGCACAAACCAACCCTTGACGAAAAGAGGAAAACACAGATTCCAGAGTTGTTATCAGGCATGTGAGAAGTCAAAGGTCATCTGTTGTAGAACACCTTGTTACACTTCTGATTGGAGCTGCTTTTGTTGTAATAGCTGTGGGTGATAATGGGGGTTGATTGTGTCCTAATCCACTCTCACACTTTGTCCTCCAGGTACTCTGATGGAGTTGGGTATCTCACCCATTGTCACCTCAGGCCTCATCATGCAGCTGCTGGCTGGTGCCAAGATCATTGAGGTTGGCGACACCCCCAAAGACAGAGCCCTCTTCAATGGAGCCCAAAAACGTAGGCATTAAATTCAAACAAAATAAAAGTTTGCACACAGATGTTTTCAACTTTGGGTTTAACATTAACCACAAAGATTTGTACTATCTCATCTATGTAATCTTTAGGATGTTGCCACTAATGAATCATATGTTTCTTTTGCAGTGTTTGGAATGATCATCACCATTGGGCAGGCAATTGTGTACGTCATGACTGGCATGTATGGAGACCCCTCTGAGATGGGTGCTGGGATTTGCTTGCTTATCATTATTCAGGTAAGGAAAATAAAAACATTTTCAAGTGTAGAAAATACAAAATAATATATCCGGGTCACCTACAAACATTGTTTCTCTCTCTGTAGCTCTTTGTTGCTGGTCTGATTGTCTTGCTGCTGGATGAGCTTCTGCAAAAAGGCTATGGTCTGGGCTCTGGTATCTCTCTCTTCATCGCAACCAACATCTGTGAGACAATTGTGTGGAAGGCCTTCAGCCCCACCACTGTCAACACAGGCAGAGGTAATCACAATCAATCACCTCCCTTTTTGAAATAAAGGATTGAGCATTTTGTTTTTTGTTTTTTTTTTGTAACATGTCTAACTTGTGTGTTTTATGCAGGTACTGAGTTTGAAGGAGCCATCATTGCTCTCTTCCATCTGCTGGCCACTCGCACAGACAAAGTGCGAGCTCTGAGAGAAGCCTTCTACCGACAGAACTTGCCCAACCTCATGAACCTCATTGCAACCGTTTTCGTGTTTGCAGTGGTCATATATTTCCAGGTCCGTTGTCAGCACCTCCTAGAAATAATTGCACATGTTTGTGTTGTATACATTTCTTTTAGTTTTATGTAATGACATTAACTCTTTAATTTCCATTCCAGGGTTTCAGAGTGGATCTGCCTATCAAGTCAGCACGCTACCGTGGTCAATACAACACCTACCCCATCAAACTGTTCTACACGTCCAACATCCCCATCATCCTTCAGTCTGCTCTGGTCTCCAATTTGTATGTCATTTCCCAGATGCTCTCAACACGTTTCAGTGGCAACTTCTTGGTTAATCTTCTTGGAACCTGGTCTGTAAGTATCTCGTATTTCTAGAGTTCAAGAGTCCTGGAGGAAAATTTTAAAATTTAAACAGTAACATACAGAGTGGTTTTAAACTTTAAGAATTGTGTTCTTTTACCATCAGTCATTAGTTTTTAGAACATTTTTGAAGTTATAATTTATAGTTTAAGTACAAAAGTTAAGTGCCGCTCATTGGAGAAATGTCCAAAATTAAAGAAGCAACATACATTAATAAAACGTATTAACATATAAGGTTGGGCCTGTAACAACAGTGTGCATAGCTACAACGACTGAATTTTAATGATTGTCTGTTCAGTGGTTTAAAAGAATAGTCACTTCAACATCTTTCCCTGCAAATAGGGAATAATTAATACTATGTCTATAATTGCCATGTGAGTGGCAATAATTAATAAGTAATTAATAATTACATAGTGAGTGGTGTCTCATTAGGAAACTGGTGCATGTTGCATTGCACTTAACTGTAATGATATTCCTAGAACAAATGGAGACAAAAGTCAAAGTTTAATGATTTGCCCAATTAGATCTTTATGTGTACATGCTGATCTGTGTTTTCAACCATCTTTAGAACTGTGGTTAAATTGAATGAGATCAGAACTACTTCTTATTCATGTCATCCATCCATAAGATAGAGATTTCTTTCTTGTTAAGCTTTGTGTCATGTTTTCTAATGGATCTATGACCAGTCTGAATTAGAAATAACATTTTGGTACAGCTCAGTATGTAAAATAATAGAACAATTTTTCTAATTTTTTAAGGACACTTCAAGTGGTGGACATGCTCGTGCCTACCCAGTCGGTGGTCTCTGCTACTACCTATCTCCCCCAGAGTCTTTCGGTTCTGTGTTGGATGACCCAGTTCATGCTGTCATCTACATCGTCTTCATGCTTGGTTCCTGTGCCTTCTTCTCCAAGACTTGGATTGAGGTCTCAGGTTCTTCAGCCAAAGATGTAAGCGTTTATTAGCCTCTGTGTGTGATTGGCTAAATTATTGTCAGACTTGTCACTTTAAACTGTTGACTCATCAGTAATGCTATTTGGGTTATGTGCCTCAGGTGGCAAAGCAGTTGAAGGAGCAGCAGATGGTGATGAGAGGACACAGAGAAACCTCCATGGTGCATGAACTGAACAGGTATAACACAGAGTAAATGTGTGCCATGTCCCTTTTTCAATGTAAAGAAAGGCATCATCCTGTATGATTAATTTTTTTAAATGTTGCTTTTTAAATCATCCACAGGTACATCCCTACAGCTGCTGCATTTGGTGGTCTGTGTATAGGAGGACTGTCTGTCATGGCGGACTTCCTGGGTGCCATTGGTTCGGGTACAGGAATCCTTTTGGCTGTGACCATCATCTACCAGTACTTTGAGATCTTTGTAAAAGAGCAGAGTGAAGTTGGAAGCATGGGCGCACTGCTCTTCTAAAAGAGAAACAGAACAACCTTTTGATAGACAGACACTAAACACCAAGCCCTCCATCATTTCTATTATGTATTCTCCTGTCATTCTTTCTTTCTTTTTTTTTCTGTTTTTTTTTTTCTTTTCTTTTTTTTTTTGCATTTAGCACAGATTATTTAAGTTGCTGCTGGGATTGAAATTTTCTTCTGCCAACGCATTTGTAACCCAACAGAATTCTCTAGCATGTCAATGATGAGAAAACTGAGGTTATTCCCAGTGTTAACAATAGTATTGTGTTAAATCAATTTTTCCCCAAGAGTTAGCACCCACCCCTCTGCAGACTGCCTACACCCCAACTGATTGTCTCAGAATTAGAATGATGTCTGGAAGCATTCATGTGTACCGTTGCCTCTGACCACATCGGCCATCGGACACAACACCATGTTCCTCTAGCGCTAATACAGTCACAACAGTTTAGTGCATCTATTGAGCTGAAAGTGCTGAGTTGGACATTTTGGGGGAAGGGGCTAAAATTTAAGCCATGTCATTTTCATCCCAGAGCAGACATACTCGGGGTATCTAGGGCCCTAGTAAACCTTGTACTCCTATGGAAAGGTTTCTGGTCAACCTGAGACACACTGCTGCTGATTTTCATTTTTGTTTTGGTATTTTAAGTGATGGACAATGTCTTCATTCACTCTGGTCTTATGTAGGGGGCAGTGTTTGTCCTTCATGTCTGAGTCCTCCACGGACAAGCGTTGTCTCATGCTCTTTTATTTGCAGACCGAATCGCTGCACAAAACTAGCGACGTGGTCGGGATCGGGGGGGGTTTGATAGGGGCGAAAAATGGGGGTTTCATTTTGGTTTTTACTTTATGTAACAAACATAACTGAGTTATTAAAAAAACAAGATTTTTTTCCAAAATGTGAAATTTGTGTATTCATTTTAATGGTCTTTATACATTTTGACATACCTGGTTTTGGAAATATGTGAAGATTTGGATTAAGACTAAATATATTTTATTGAGGTTTAAATAAATTAAAAAAAAGTATAGAGTCTTAGGAACATGGTTAGTCAGATGGTAGAGGAAGCAGACTTGGGTCCGGAAGGTTTCAGGTTTGAGTCCACCAGCTGCCAGGTGACCACCAAGGTGCTCTGAGCATGTCCCCACACACTGCTCCCCGGGTGCTCAAGCTGCCCCCTGCTCACATTGGTGATGGGTTCATTGTGTGTGCTGTGTTACAGTGACAAATAATTCACTTTTACTTTATACATTATATAGTGTGTGTATATAGATGAGTGTTTGTGTGAATATACAGTATGTATGCATTGATGCAAAATGCAAACATTTTTTCCATTTTATTTCTTTGTACATCCACTAAAACTAAGAATGGAACAAGCTATGGTGAAAGTATTAGTAACAGTAACTCAGCAATGAACCCAGTCTGTGCTTTATCTGCCAGCATGACAAAAATCACCAAGAACTATCCACAGAAGCAGTAAGAAAATGTAGTAGACTAGCTGGCTGAACCTTAAAAAAATTCAATGAAAGTGAAATATACTATCTGGAAATACTTGCATAGTGCTCCTCATGAGACCTTTCTGAAACGTGTTAAAAACTTTTATTACCTTAACTGTTTGTGCTTCAGAGTAAGAAAAGAATGAACGAAAGAAAAAAACTATAACCTCCTACCTAAACTCTTTAACACAAGCCATGTGACGTAACACTAAAATATTCTTAGTATAAAATATTCCTTCATATCTCTTCCTAATTATTTTACATTAAAAGCAATTCGCTTTGGCTGAAATGTCTTGTGTCAAGAAATTACCAAACATTGAAACTAGAGACACCGGTAATGCAATTTTTTTTCCTTCTATAAAAAGATGTCCAGTAATATTTTTTCCATATGGTTAAATCTTTATAAACTGAGACGTATCACCAGTTCAAAACCCGAGATGTATTTGCCGGAAATGACAATCGGAAAGACGGTTAGGGTTAAGTTCTTGAGCTGGGGTCGTCGACGTCATCACATTGCGACCACATGTGGGCAGGTCAGAGGGTATACAGGTTTCCTGGATGCCGGGTGCCTTGTCAAATGAAAATATTGTCTTTTTCAAGTAATTTATGTCACACTTCTCATAACTTGGCTCAGGAACACAGTTAGAAGGACTCAGGAAGTGGCAGACATGTCGTACTGCAAACAAGAAGGTAACGGCGGTGCTTTTTCATTCATATTTAATCTGTAACTTGGCAATGTCACCGAGTTAGCATAGCCGTCAAGCTAAGTGGCTAACTCTTAGGAAACAGGGAGCTCAGTGGTACACGGCGAATGATGTAACTTCACTGTATATTAGCTGTTTTCACAAATTGTTGTTTATCTTTTAATGTTTTATACTACAGCAGTTAAACAGGAGAGACTCTTTGCCTTTTCCTGTTAGTAGGACCGGGTTAAACTCAAGTTAAACTTACTTAGAGTGAGCGCCCTCCAGAGTACGCTGTCATTCAGAGAATAGACAATAACACCGTGTTTGTCTTGACCTGTCCTGGATGTCATCCATGACCAGGTTCTAAATTTTTTATTTATTCTAAAGTTTGTTTCTTAAGTCATTGCGGTCATTTAACGGCTGTGCTTGTAAACGTTTTCAAACTGGTTGTATTTGTCTTAAGTAGTGCTTTATTTAAATGTTTTCACAATAATGTTTGATCTCTGCCCCTATCCCATCTACGTATTTTCTAAATGTAAAAGTAAATGTTTACCTGATTAATGGAAACTGTTTCAACAGAGGAATGAAAGAAATACAAATGGAAATAAGTTTGTTGTTAACAGTAAAAATTGTTGCATTTTTTTAGGTAAAGATCGTATCATCTTTGTGACTAAGGAAGACCACGAAACACCCAGCAATGCTGAGCTGATTGCGGATGACCCAGACGATCCCTATGAGGAGCAAGGTCAGTCAATTAGACACTTGGAAAATCAAAAAAACAAAAGGTTAACTGTGTCAGAAAAGAAAAGGATTGTGTCAGTACTCTAGGAGGGGTTCTCCTCCCCTTTGAGATCTTCACCTTTCGTCCTTCTCTGTTCAATTGCAATACTTTTTGTTTCTTGTGTCTTTAGGCCTCATCCTACCAAATGGAGATATCAACTGGAACTGTCCGTGTCTGGGTGGCATGGCCAGCGGACCGTGCGGCTCTCAGTTCAAAGAGGCGTTTTCCTGCTTTCACTACAGCAAAGAAGAGGTGAAGGGCTCTGAATGCATCGACCACTTCCGTGACATGCAGGAGTGCATGCAGAAGTATCCTGACCTCTATCCTCAGGAGAAAGACGAAGAAAGCTCCCCCAATGCGGAGCCTGACATAGGGTCCGGTGCTGCTCCATCTGAAGGCTCTTCCTCATCACCTGAAACTGACGCTGCCCAGTCCACCTCGGATCGCTCACCCAAAAGCATGTCACCTACAGACAGCCAGACTGACAGCTAAACTCAACCACTGGTCTTTCACAGGCTTCACTTCTGTGTTCAAGCCACTGCCCAGCATATGTGACTCACTGTGAGGATCTCTAATCAGTCTCTTCTGCTGTTCCAGACCAAAGACAGAATTTGGACACACAGAGTCATTGTAGGAGGATGCTGTAAACACAGAATGACATGGCAAACAGGCAGCAGTGTAGGCTTCACCAATAATGGATCACTCAAAAGACCATTTATCAGCTCAGAGAGTCAACCTTAGGGTTATTTGTAATCAATTATCATAATTGATTTTGTGATCATTTCAAGATAAACGATTAATCGTTTAATCTATAAAATATAGAAACGCAGGAAAATTATGATTTTTTTTCTGGCCCAAAATTAAAATAAATAAAGTATCAGCATAAAATGTATGGCTTATGAATATAAATAGATAGAATTATTCTAATATGTTATTTATACTGAGTGGATTCTTGTCAGAGATAATTGAGTTATTTGGTAACTAATCGGTCATAGATTAATCAACTAATCAATGCAGCCTGCCTTACCTTATATGAAACAGAAATGATGATGTTTACTGTGTTTTTCTCTTGTCTGTCAGTGTAGTTGTTATCACCTCGATACCTCTGATCTGAAATCACTGTTTGTTTTTTAGTGTTACTCTTGTGATTCTCCCCTCACGTCACCGGACAAAAGTAGAGTCAAAATTCCATGCTGCCATTTCTAAATGAGCTAAGGTTTAATAAATACACATAAAGGTCATTTTAAAATGTAAACATTTTCACCAACCTATTTCTGTCCCCAGTAGTATATCTACTTTCTGGCTATAAACACACCTGACTGTTACGTACTGGACATTTAGCAGTTGGCTCTCTTCCTTCCATTTACAAAATCAACCAAGACACAGGTAAGAAATCAAGGCTGCAAGACAATGTTTTTTCTATTTTCTTTTCCATATGAAGGACCTTCACTATTTCTTTTAACAGTCCATGTGGAGATAGGGGGAAAGTTTTTGTCCTGTTATGTCAAACTGCACCCAATAATTTTGTTGATGGTAAGCAGACGGAATGTCTGGCAGATTTCCCCAAAAAGGAATAAAACGTGATTTCACCTGTATAAATTTCAATGTTAAATGCGACCATCCTTGATGGCAAACAAACAAACTTGAGATGTGGCAGACATTTCTTTCAGTCAGTTTATTCAGAGTAAGAATAGGGTTTCACCATACGTACAGCAAAGTCTGTGAAAGAAAGTTATAGAACATGGTTTTAACACAGGAGTTCTAAATGTGATTGTCAACATTGGGCATTTTGATAAACTGATGTAGAACTTAATTTGAGCTGTAGCCTAATTTCCCATTCATACTGAGTTACCTCCAAGGTCAACAGTGTGCTTCGGTCTAAATCTACGCATTTGTTTTACATGTTAACATAGATGTGATGAAGTGGGATTGTGCTCGTATGGTAGAGAGTTTTTGGTTCTGGTTTGTCCCTGTTTGAACAACAGTTGTCTTGACTCACTGCATAAATCAACACTGTGTAAAGTCTGTGCTCTGTAAAGTGTGGTCAGTGCCCTCTTATTCTGGCCTTAAGCACTTGAAATTCATATTAGTTTATAGTCAAACTGTTTAAATTTTGTTTTGTTTTTTTGTTTGTTTTAGTAACATTTAATTTAGCCTACGTGGAACCAAGGTGTTAGTTAAAAAGTACAAAGAAATCACTCTTGGTTTTGACCTTGTTTTTGAATTTTCTGTCAAATATAATGACTGCCCAGCTTCTGCAGTGACACTTCAATAATTAGAACATGCAGCAAATTGAACTAGTGGATATGTGGTATTAAAAATGTGTTTTTTCGTCGTTCTGAAAGAAGTCTGCAGAGGCCAGAATTATGCATATTTTACATCCAATAATTCCATCCATTTTTGTTGGATTAGTCACAAACAACCTCTACATGCTGGCATGTACAGAAAAGAATTATTTTTGTCATATTTAGGAAGGTTGATTTTTGTACTGATTAATTTGATATATCTATATATAATTAATCAGGACAAATATATATATATATACATAAACACATAGGATTGTGTGTGTATAGAGAATATTGTTGATGTTTTCTTGCGCTCTATATTATAGTCACCTGGACCTAGTACTCTGGACACTGCTGATCAGTCCAGCGTTCAATAAAAGTTTGACACACCTAGTGAGTTACTCCCAAGCATTCGGACATAAAGAGTCATAATGTTGAGTGATTGTTTTTAAAATGTAATTACTGTTTTTTGCATTGTGCACAAATATATGTCTGGTGTATGTGTACACATCGTAGAGTGAAGCTCATGGACACCCACTCCTCAGGCCCTCTGTTATAAGTAGACCAAGTCGAGGGGTCCATGGGGCCACAATACTTTGCATGGTGACCAGTAACCGCCCGGTTCCAGCCTCTTCAGGACCTGCAAGCAGGTACTCCATACCTGTTGGATATGGAGAAAAAATATTTAACATGAATTTTCTTCTTTTTTTGGTACGTCTGTTTGACCATTGATTTTGCTAGACTATCCTAAAAGACATAAATGTTGCAGACAGACAGGATATTTAAGTGGCTCCTGCAGCAATGATATCCCCAAGTGTTTATGATTGGGATGTTGAACTTTTTATGTAGTTCTGTGTTAATGATCAGCACTTCCTGTTTGTCACTTCTCTAACCTGGATTTAGAATTGGACAGGTGCAACCTAGACTGGTCCAGGAAAGAGGATAGATGCTGATGGTCCCCTGGTTTAGCGCCACCTGGCCTGATTGAAGGACTTTCCGAACTTTGACCTGAACCTCTGCGTGGCTTCCTTTGTCGTAAGCAGAAAGCACACTGACCTTGATCACTGTCATGATGACAGGGTTGAGAAAAAGGTTTCATGTTAGCAAAGTTTTGTGTGCAACCCGAAAACCCTCAAAAGCATAAAGCTGATGTCTTTTCATCACTTCATAATTAGGGATGTCTGATAATATCGGCTAACTGATAATATCAGCCTGATATTAGCATAATTATGTGCTTAAAATTGTTTTGGGATAAATGGCTGTGTGTGAAATTAAAAGTCACTAGATGGCAGCATTGCAGCTCATTTAATTTATTTTAATAAGGGGATTGTATGCAGAATGCTATTAATTGTTTGGACAATATCGGCAAAAAAATTAATATCGGACAGTGTTATTATAGGTATTGTAGGTATCAGAGTTTTTTTCTTATTTGTTTTTTACAATGATCTTTAGATTTTCTGCTTGGTAATTCCTTGAAAATGTAGATTTTTGGTTTATTAAGAAGTTATCGTGTTAATGGAGATCCACAGACACAAAATAGAGCTGTTTTTAACATAAAAAGACATGTACATAAATTTACATCTAAAATACTGTATGTTTAGTTAACCCTAAATCAATTTGGTCAGACATTTATGTTCTTGGTTATTGCTGGAAAGAAGTCTGACCTTCTTGCATTAGAAAATCACACGGTAAAGTTAATCCAGATTTTGTTGATACTCTTGGAGAAGCTATTTTTTGATTAAAATGTCTTACCGTAGTCATGTTTAGCCTTACAGAGATCAGACAAACTTCTCAGTTTCTTCTCTTTGCAGCTGCACTTTCCTGTATCAAAATCATTGTGATCTGATCACTCATGTTGAACACAGTGATTACACTGTATGATCATGACAGAGTGAATGGACTCTCACCTGTGTAATGCAGAGCAGAGACAGGAAGTTCCTTTGACCACTGGACTTCCTCAATGGGGACCCCGTGATCCCAGTCTGGGATTTTTCCTCCAACAGGTACATTGAACACCTGATTATTAGTAGAGTAGCTACAGAATTAAACAACAGACAAAATGAATTGACATGTTTTCTTTGTTGGATATAACATTTCAAACTTGAGTGTAAATGTAAGGAAACCTAACGAGAGTGACCTGTCATAGCAGCGGCCAGTATCAGGGTCACAGCTGAGAGGACAGTCACAGGGTTCACATCCCTTCTCTCCAAAACCCCAGAACCCACGAAGGCAGTGACTGCAGCTCCTTCCTCCTACACCTGGTTTGCATTGGCACTGCCCAGTCCTGGGGTGACACCATGGTCCTCCGTCTCCAGACTGAGGAGGCAGCACTGAGCCTTGTGGATCACAGTGGCAGCCTAGGATACAGAGGTGTATGGTTCTGTCTCAGCTATTACTTATTCAAATGCTCTCCAAACCACAAACACGCTTTAACCATCAGTTAACAATGACACCAAAGATCCATTAGATGGTGCTGTTTACCCTATGCTTTCAGACTTACTGCTTTGCAAAAACTAAAATTGATATAAATATATTTTATTATATTATTATTTTCTTTTATAGTCACTAAAAGATTTGGTAGGAATTTAATTTTATTGAAATTGAAATGAAACAGGTTGTTACCTGGTGGAAAATAAAGAATTCAACAGAGAATTATTCCTCCTCAGAGGATATTAAATTATATTTTCATTTTATTTTTATATTTTTTTTAATTGTCTAGAAACTTGACTTGAGCAGTTGACCATCAAATAATCAAATGTGCTCACCCTTAACAACTGAGAGGAACCAACTACCGTAGTGACAAATGAGTCCATGTCTCTTACGTGTGCAGGTGTGGGGGGAGGTGATGAGCCGGGATGGATGGCGGTGGTAACCTTGGCGGCAGCGCTGGCACCTTCGACCTGCTGTGTGGTGTTGACAGTCATCACAGACGCCACCGCTGGTGCCACCAGAAGAGTGCCATGCCCGCTGAGAGAACTGACAGCTGTTTGAGTGACCGTGACACTCGCACTCTGAGGCCACAGGAGAGAGTGACAGCACGGTTACTGTTGCCATAGAACACAGGCCACACTTCAGGAATACTTGCAGTATGAAAGTCATCAGTGAAACAAATGCCTCTACATTTGACAAACCAAGGTATGTTGCAGTGTATCTGACAACATGTGCGATCCAGGCCTACAATACCCATGACTAAAGCACTAAAAAATGGTCGTTCTATGAAATGTTACTGTAAAACTACATATTTCCAGCTGGTTTCATTAAAACATTTCTTCATTTCTTTGATTGCAGATGCCACTTTCAACACCTGGTGAAAAATCAATGTTGTCCGTTGGTCCTATCCCACCAGAAGGAAGAGACCATATGGTTTGACCTAAGAAGCCCTGCACCTGATAAAAGGAAATACTGGGGTAACGATCACAGTAATTTTATATATTTATTATTTTCTGCAGTAAGAAATAGAATGCCAGCACTATTTTAATGTCATGTCATGATGAGCTCACTCCACCACCATAAATCATGTTATCCACAAAAACACAGTAAATCTATAAAAACTAAAACACAAACCTTTCTTGGACCATGGACCAAATACAGTCTGATGGTCAAATCTGTTAGAAGTGTGCAGTCCAGGATTAAACTGTTGTCAAAACATCTTAAAAACAACTAAAACCATGGCTAAAAAAATTAATTATTAAGTCAAACATAAACATATGTTTTTTCATCCTCCTTGGACTTCAACACTGGTTTGTGAATTTTGGTGCAAATGCATATGTTTTATGTTTAATTGGTGAAACATTTACAGGTGAAATTGAGCTTTTATTTAATTCTTTCAAAATGTACATCAAGGAATATTGCTGATAAAATAAAATAATATAAATAAAACAATAATAATAAATAAACAATAAAACATTATTAATTACAAATATTTTTTCATAAAAATATTTAAAAAGTTATAACCTTAACAAAAAAGTGCTTAACAAAATAAAATAATCTGTATTATCTGACACCTGCAGCGCAAAGTGCTGGACATTGATTGAAAAATAACTGCGTCCATGTTTATGGCCCATATGCAGCCTTAACAAGAACCTTCCGAGAGTATTTTATTTTTAGTAACCCCCCCATTGCCCTCCTCTCACACTTTACAACATCTTGTCTAATTGTTTTTACTCAGTGAAGTGATGTAATGGCCGTGCAGTCACGTACTCTGGCAGGGGTTGGGCTCCCCGCTGCTGCCGTTGGCTGCCCTCCAGGGTCGGTCGTTGTAGAGCGGGGCACACTTCTCGCAGTGCTCCCCTGCTGTGTGGTGAGTACACAGGCACCTACCAGACACCTGTAAGACACATCTGGACCTGCTCACTTACTTCACCCTGCATCAGCAACAAAAAATGAGCGACACCTGCTGTCTACAGGCCGTGATCAAACAAATCCAGAATTAATAGAATGAATTTAACTGGCAGTTGTGTCCATCCGTGAGTTCAAAAATTAAAACACCTACATGAATGAATGGACCAAATTAGAGTTTATATATGCTTGGGTTGGACCCTGGACACTTCCTCAGTCAAACAACCATTCACTCTTAACATTCACACCTATGGGGAATTCAGTGTAAATAATTCACTTCATCCTGCAGAAAAGTCCCATCCAAACAAAATATGAACGTAAGGCAATAGTAATTACCATCCAGCCACCACGTTGCATTTTTATATCAGTTACTGAGAAAATCATTGCTGACTAAGTCATTAGTCAAACACAAGGCTAGATTTCCTCTGTAGAAACATAAATTGCCCCAGGGAAACCAGAAAACGTAATATATTTTAACAACCAAATGTTTACCATATAAATCAGCTGTGTGTACTGCATGTAGACGTATTAGTAATGTGTCCGTGCCATTGAGCAGCCGCTTTTTAAAGAGAAAACCAAGATGCTCTTTTAACAGCTTCATCTCCTGCTCCAAAGGCTGTAAAAATAAATTACTTCAGTTTTCTGTGTGTTCATAAATCTTCTCTAAGAGATGGTCACAAAAATCTGTTCAACAGACTATGATACTAAGTATCGAGGCCTCAGAGAAATAACGACAACTTTAAACAACTATATTGTTGTTATTGTCAACTATTGGACAATCCATCTGTCAGTCACACACACCGTCTTATGCCTGGACTTTGCTCTTTAACAGAAAAGAAATCCTCTCACCATGTTACTGTCCTGGTTTGACTGTTGGTTGTCGTCGTGGTGTGAGACACAGTGTTCTGCATGTCCGTGGCACAGACAGGTCCCTTTGGCCAATAGAGTAAAAATAGCATATGGTGCAGAGGAGTTCTCTTTTGTAGATGTGGAGGTCAAAGCTGAGGCTGTGGGCTCGGTCAGAGGTCCAGTACAGGCCTGGGGTTTAATCAGTCTGATGCGTAGGTTAGTGAGGGTTAGGCGAGCCAGACCCTCTGGGCTGTAAGGGTCCAGTGTTTTTGCACTGCTGGGGTCTAGTGTCCTTAATATCACCTGGAGAGAGGGAGACACCAGTAATTAACTCTTGTTAATTTCTGTGTGTTGGCTTTAGGAGATACAGTAGTTCAGTGACTCAGTGAAGTCACTGGTGGACAGACATATTCTTATTACTGACAACATGACTGCTGATTAAAAAACATGAGAAAACAACCTTCTTATTACTGACAACATGACTGCTGATAAAAAAACAACCTCCATAAAACCTATATATATTTGAGTTTAAATCAGAATTTAAGCCATGGCTTTATCTTTTTTTTTTCTCCACTGTGCACTCTGTAATTTCCCCAATTAATTGCAAAAACATATGTATTAAAAGAGGACATTATCATCAGTATATATTTTACTGGCTTTTTAAAAGTTGCTGGGGTAATTAGTTAGTTTTTCATGATACTTTGGTTTATATTTTTGGAAAACTCCTACTGAACATAAACTAGGTTTTAGTGTCAAACTGTGACACTGACATGTTCTAGGCCGTAACATCTAAGAAGCAGTGCTTCATTTGTAAAGTGGGAGGTCCATAAACACAGAGAACAGTGTTTATGGCAACTTTTTTTTTTTTTGCCACCCATGACCACACGTAATTTCATATAACCATGGAGATATCACACCGATGACTTGGAGGTACAGTATATTTTCTCACCTCTCCACCACTGCAGGGTGTTACACTTGTGTACCGTGATGTGCACAAGGAGCCTGGCAGGCTAAAATCATCCGCTAGACCAAACTCTTCACTGCAGTTGTTTGCAAAAAACTTAAGAGTCTCCCAGGTCTTTCCAAAATCAGCTGACCGTTCAATGGCCATGGCCGATGGCCGGGGTGACCGAAACACCAAAACTACATAGGAAAAACAGAACTGCGTTTCCAGATCCAGCTGAATCTCATCGTGCTGGTCCTGAGTGGTGGTACCGGCACCTGAGGCCCACCAAGTTGCTGGATGTGAGAAGGGATTGTCATTCATGTGGGCAGACGGGTGTTTGTTCTCAGGGCAGAGGTCGGGAGTTACGGAGGAGCAGTTCCCACAGCAGTTTGAGAGTGTGGTGAGGCTCCGCCCACTGGCCAGGTTCCCTATGGGTGGACTACAGGCACGGTCCACACATCTGGAAACTGTAATAATGAAAGGAGGGTCAGTGAATGTGTAAAAGCTAAGGGTCTACTGATCAACTTTAGCCTGGTGTTTTTTTTACGTCAAAGCTGGTTTGCTAGGCTACAGTGGGTGAAATTCTGTAGGAAATTTCCAATTAGTTGCTAATTGAGATTCTCTCAGTTTTACTCCACGTTCTTTATATGACCACAGAATGGACCACTCCGAGGTTCTGTCTGGGCCACAAGTGGCCCACCATCCTCTATTTGAACAAGGCAGCTACCAAGCTTCTCTGTTATTATATGCAACTCAATCAATCCTGTGCTGGTTGTGCTATTGTGTTTAATAGAAGTACATATGAACAAAAACTTTTTCCAAGTGGAGTGGGTAATGCGGGGCAGAGGCAGAGTTAGCAGTGGGGCCTTTTCAGCCCAGGGCGCCACAGAGACGAGGGCCGTCAGTGTGATTGTGATGTGTTGATGCTCCTCACCTGCACTGCTGCGCGTTACAGCCACGAACAGATAAGTGATTAGCAGCATCAGATACGGACCGTTCAGCAGCTCCGCACAGGGTCTCATTCTTGTCCCCTGTCTTCAGACCATCCACCGTGACGCAATAAACGCCTTGCAGCAGGAGAGGTGAGTCTCTGCATCACGTGGAGCTAATTTATGTACAGAACAGCGTATTTCTCTGGCTCTCAACAAACGTGGTATTAACGTCCAACTGAAGACAGAGTATTGTGTCTTCATCCACCGACGTCCTTCTAAAAAAAATTCAAATCAAAAATTAAAAAATTCACAGCATCCTCTGCGACATTGTCGCACCTTTTCCAAAAGATGCAGCTGCGTGTGCGTCTCCAGGGTTATATAAAAACAAGTGTGGGGTTAATTCCATGGGAACATTTTCCCTCGTTCTTTAACGCGACAACAGTGAAGTAAATATTTCCTCCGGTTTAAATCCTTAAACGGTCCACAGAGCTCCGCGCGCGTCCCGCTGAGTGTAGCCCTGTACACACTGGAGAGGAGCGCTCTATTTATGCATCACCACACACACACACCCGCCTACAATAAGTATACGCCCACGCGCACACGTGCACACGCACCAAAACATAAGGTTTTCATCCAGGCCGAGCAGTCGTCCACCTGCAGGGGCGTTCACAGAAATGTTAGAGTGCAGGTGCTGAGGAGAGAAGCTGGTGAAAAAAAGTCTCATAAAAGACATGTGACCAGTGATATTGATATAGGGTGGCACCAACGATCCTAAAGCTGCCCTGTTTACCCACAGTCTGATCTACAGTACAAACTAAACAGATGATACATTTGGCATTTTCTAGGGATGTCCGATATTAACTTTTTGCCAATATTGTCCAAATACTAAATTTCTGTTTCCTATATCAACTGATACCGATATGTGCAGCCGTTTGCCCCAAAACTGAGGTAAACGTCTCAGTACCCTATGTCGAATTCCAGGTAATTTGGCAAAACCAAGGCATTGTGTTATCAAATTTTCATTATCGGAGTGATGTCTAACTAACATTTTTATGAACAGGGAACTTAAGACAGTTGTCTCTAAACCTAACCTGAAAAACTCCACCTTAAAAAAACCCAGATTTTGTTGTCCTGATTTCCTGGTTTCCTGGTTCAGATTAGATCACAGTAACACAACAGAACTAGTAAAAGATACTGATGACAACTTCTTGGCTTTTGTGCTTTAACACTTGTCCTGGTTCTGTTGGATCTTTGTGCTACATTTATAGTAATTGGATCAGGCTTGTAATCATCGACAGCCAAACACAGCTTCTCTTAATATTTTGTGAATTTGTTTGTTGTTTTTTTCATCACAGGTGTTTGAGACTTTATACCTGGACTTTGTCTCATAACCAAATGGCCATGTCCATTTCTGGTCTATAGCCTTTGGACATTTTACAGACCCGTTGATGTAGGTAATGTGATCCAGACCCAGAACAAATACCAGCTAAACCAGGTCCTTCTACTCACTAACCAGGGCCTCATAAAGTAAAGCGAGGAAATTAGTTCATCTGCTCCTGGCCTCCTGTTTTTCACATGCAGTGATTCCAGGAGTCTTTGAAGTCCAGAAGAGGAAACCTGAGTCGGGAGACAAAAATAGTCCCAGTGCAGGTTGTTTGCAGCTCGATGGCTCATTGTGTCACCAAAATGGTTTCTGACAGCTTAATGCAAATAAGCTTAATTTAGAAGGAAGTCTTTTTTAAAAAACAAAAACAAAAACAAAAAACATGTATCTTCTTAGTTGGATGAAATAGTCTGTCAGCTTTTATTTAAAAACTTCATAATAACACATGGTATAAATAATGACAAAAAATTAACCACACAAGCTGTGAATAAACATTTCTCCACAGTTTTATGGCTCAGGTTCTGTTACAAGCCCTTAAAAACTGGAGCTGAGGCAGAGAATTGGACTGGTTTCCATAAATGTCTTTAATATCTTACAAACCATTTACAGACCTGCCGTCTCTGCTCACTGGAGCGGAAAATGAAAACTGTCAAGACCTTCACTTGGGAATAGAATCCTGGCCGACAGCAGTCGTGCTTTGATTTAGAGAAATAGCTCGTTTAATTGTATTTCTAGAGAGAAGGTTGGATGTTTGTTTTTTTTTGTTTTTTTTGGTGTGGTTGCCAGAGTCACCGTCACTCTGTCAGCACTGACACTCAGCAGCGCGCCACCCAGTCGCCACCATTGACCAGAACCAGCCTGACACATGAACGTCTGCTCTCATTGAAAACATGACTGGCGGTGGGGAAACAAGGGAAAACAGATGTTAGGCACTTAACAAAAAGTTTTGCCTCAAAAAAAGCTACACCTGCGTTGGTAAACGATATCTGAAAAACACACGAAATGCTGTCAAACTTCTTTTTCCGATCAGAAGAGAAGAAATTTTAGTCTTTTTGACAATTTATTTACATCTCTACATAACATCAAGACGATGTTGATTAATGTCTTGATCAGACTTCCGGTCCAGTCCAAACCATTTACCCTCAGACACGACTAGAACACAGTAGCCTTCAAAATATTCCATACCGTACTGGAATATTTCTAGAACGTTTACTGTGACCTCAGTATAGTCTGTGGGAATGGAACATTCAGGAGTAGCCCGTGATCCTACGGTTGCCTTCGCAACATGTCAGAAAAGAGTCACGCCAATGTATTCTTGGAGCAGAATAAAGTGTTAGAAGATGAAGAATGAATGAGGGAATACTATTAATAAAAAAAATGTATAAATCATCAAACATTGAAGCCATGAACTCACAAGTCTGGCTACAAAAAATAGTAGTCAGTAAATTCAAGATCGTAAGTCATAAGATCAATTTGATGAATCATCTTGGACGAGTTATCAAAAACAGAAGAGAAAAGACTTTTTTTCTGTGGATCCATATTTTAAAAGTCACAAACCTTTGTGACCCAAGTCAATAGACATTATTTGTAAACTCCTGGGGAGAAAAAATCTCTTGCAACCCACCTGAGGGTCACGACCCAGTCTTTAGGAAACAATGTTTTAGCTGGACGTAGAAAAAACATTTTCTTTTGCTGTCTGTGGTCAGTGCTCTGGTCCTGAATTGTGTGAGACTACTGTCTTCACAAACTATTTCCCCTTAATGCACTCTGATTCTGGAGAGCAGCTTCACTCTTTGGTTGAAAAATAATGTCTGATTACAAAATGTGGTTCATGTATTAGAGTAGAATTATGAGATGTGTCCGTTGATGACTGGCTGACATTTTTTTTTCCACCCCTGACAGTTGCCATGTTTTCATCGAGATGTCAAAGGCGCCACACTTGGGAAAGTCAGTGACGGAAAGGTCAGTGTTTCAAACAACTGCACTTCTAAACTGTGTAACTTCTCAATCATCAAAGTCAGAGTTTATAGACAGCTATGTAGGCTTGAGTTTCTGGACTCAGAAATGAATCCAAGCCCCCGATGGTAAATGTATTCTATTACTAAAGTAGTTTTTATCACGCTCTCCACCTCATATATTACTTCATCTTCATCTGTTCTGCATTTGTCTTTCTTCACCCCTCGCTGTTTTCCTTTTCATCTCTGTGTGCTTCTGTTTTCCACCCCTAAGTCTAGCTACAGTGTTTGAAAGGTCTCTAAGCAATAAAAACATCAGAGGCTCTCCTTCATCTTCACCCATCTCACTTTCTCTCTTTTATTCACCCCAGAACTGCAGAGTTTACTGAGTTTACCCTTTGATAGTGTTGATTGTCTATGGATGTCCTTACAGTGCTCTCATGGTGGGAGCAGAAAGCCATTAATGGACATTGTCTGTGTCGCAGTTATTGATGCAACCCATACCTTCACAGGTGATAGTTTGAAGTACAGTCAGTACAATCATTTATTTTCAGTGTTGTATGTAAATATTAGTGTAAAACAAGTTCCTTAAAATGACACCGGAGCTGATGATTTCACACACAGCTCTATCCCCGTGTCTTTGAGCAAACACATTCTCTGATTATTCAGGATGTATGTTCATCGAAGCCTCCAGCTGTGAAAGGTCAAATACCAACCAGGAAAGGTCAGAGGGATCTCCTATCTGCCACATGACTCCTTCCCTAATTGTACCTCTTTTGCTCATTTACACAGGTTAATGGGGGCGAGGGAGTGCAAGGTCAGAAAAACAGAGATCACCAGCCCTTATAATCCTCAGTGTCTGTTCAGGCTGTTTATACGCCTGTGTCAATCTGCATGTCTTCACTCTCTGCTGACTCCCAGGGCTTTAGTGGAACTGGAACTTTGGGTTTCACTCATGTTTGTGTATCCACTGTGTATTAGAGCAGTGGTTCCCAAAGTGAGGGCTGCAGCCCCCGTAGGAGTGCCAGGGAGTGTTTTCGAGTGAATGGGCAGTGGAATTATGGGATATAATCCAGAGAGTGTCAACCTGTTAGTAATAATTAGCAATGTCCGATAATATCAGCCGACCAATATTATCGGCCCGATATTAGCATATTTATGTGATATCTGTAAAAATCATTATCAGGTTTTCATCGTCGGAGTAAAAACCTATAACGATAACGCAATGGGTTTGGGTTTTGACAAATGATGTGTTCCCTAAAAATAGTTTTGGGGATAAACTGCTGTATATTAAAATGAAAGTCACTAGAGGGCGGCATTGCAGCTCATTTAATTAATCTCATACTAATACAGCGGTTTGTACAGATAAATAAATAAATATTACCAGACCTATATCGGTATCGTAAATTAAGTGTTTGGACAACAGAAAAAAGTTCATATCCAACATCCCCAGTAATAACGCTACATTTGCTGAAGTCAGTGCTGGTAATGTGCTCCATGAGACCACTGTTAAAAAAAACAAAACAGGACAACATAAGTTAAAAGGTCGCAGCCAATTTAGTAAATAAAAGACATGAGGAGTACAGTTCCTTTAATGTCCTCAGTCTGCTGCTCTGATTTATTAGCACCGAGTGCGATAACTCATGTAGACGGCTAACAAAGGTAGTCCCTGTACCGTTGCTGATTGCTGTCATGAAGCTCATGTTATGGAGGGGTTTCTGTGAGTCACACATGGATTAAAATTAGCCCACTCACATGTGAATGTGTACATTTACTCTGCGTGTGTGTGTGTGCGCCTGCCTTGTACGATAGGTTTAGAATGCATGCTGTTTCTTTGATGTCAGAGACTGAGTGACACTGATTAGGCTCCCGGACCAGAGGCATGATAGAGGCCAGATGAGGCAGGATGACAATTCTGGGCCTCTGTGGAAAACTCACCAGCTTATTGCCAAACCAATAACGCATGCATCTGTGAGCTTATGTGTGGATTTGTGGGTGTTTATTCGTGGAAGCAGAGTATATGTGCACATGCACTTACGTGTAACATGTGTGTATGTGATGGGAAAGTATGTGAAACAGTTTCCAGTTACTTTTTTATATTAATTTTCAATAATAGAGGAATGTCTGGAATGTGCCTTTAAAGGCTTCTGTTGGGTGTGAGAGATTATTTATAGCCAAATAATCCTGTTTGATATTAGTGGAAATTAATCCCCCGCTCATGCCCAGGCGTATATATACATATATACATATATACATATATATATATATATATATTCAAAGTGCACTTTCAAATTTGTATTTTATGTGTGTTTATGAGTGTTTTACTGGCACTCCTTACATTTCCTAATGAATGTTCCATACTCAACACTCTTGTTAAAATAATTCAGCCTATAATACTTTCCAAACAAGTCGAAAACAAGGCAAAGTAAGACTTGAAGGCCAGAGTGTTGACAGGTGGAGGTTTTGAAGAGATTTGTACAAAAGTAGAATCCAACAACGGCTTGTTTATCCATTTAAAAACAATGTTGGCAGTGCGACAAAAATATTCAGACCTGGGTCTGTTTAAAGTCAATAATATCATATATAGAGGAGAATTCTTTTTTTCTCCAGGGTCAAGGCAGAAACTGCTGCTAAATATGCATGAGCCCTCTGACAGAATCACAGGAAAGATCACATGACCATGGGATTGAGAATATGTTCCAAGATTATTGTGTTTAAAAACTTGTCTGCTAGCCTGAGCTCATCCAAGATGGATCTAAAGACATGAAGACTGAGCTTTGTTTTTGGGAATTAGAGCACGGCGGTACAGTATGCTTCCGTGAAGAGGTTTTTTTTTTTCAAGGATTTTTCAGCAGGGAGAAGCCAATACAGACCAGTATTGTGGTTGGTCCTCACTGTTTGCTCATGACCTACTGTTGGGCCCATGTGTCCCGGGTTTTCAGTATTTTTATGACCTGTGGCGTCTGACTCTGGTTCTTTTCCTCATCTTAAAAGTAACACTGAAATGGACCAAAGGAAAGTAAAAAAATCAATCCCAGCTGTTTGAAGGCCTGCTCCAGTGGTTCAGGGTTCCAGTCTGTCTCTGGTCTGGCCACTTTAAGCCCCTCATCATTAAACACATCTTTACAAGCAGGCCCAGACTCCACCTGTGATTTACCCTCTGTCATTAACAGGACGGCTTGGTCACAGGAGTCTTGGTTAAAACGGCAGTTTGTCACGTTAGTCACGACTTCAGTGTATTTGACTTCAGTGTAGTTGTTCTGCCTTTGTTTCATACAGACAGTCATTCTATGTCATTGTGTGTGTGGACATCCCATCAGATGAAATAGTTAGAATAGTAAGAATGGCACCAGTTCACATCCCAGCTGGGACTCTTGGAGTTTGGATGTTGATGCATATTAGTGGACGCTCGTGGAGCTCTTGTAAAATGTCAAGCCACAAAACACTTCAGTCGACGTGATGTTTGCTCCCTCGTTGTGGTTCACTTTAATCCACATGCGACACCAGTGACGTAAACTGATCACAGAAGTGTTGCTGTTTATACAGATCTGGGCTTTTGAAGAGAAAGTTGTTTTAAGAAACAGTGAGCTAGAAACCAGAGATGGTTTAAAGTTGTACAAACGTGGCTTTGTAGTTTTGCCAAGACTTTTCTGTGATTTTAGTCCCAAAAATATCAACGTGCAAGTCATTTAGAAACCTCCTTCACACCACTCGAATGCTGACACTCCCTACAGTTTTTGATATATGAATAACCAGCCTTTCCTAGAAAGACCTGCGGAGACTTTATAAAATACAGTATGATCAATTGAAATCAAACATTTTTGTTCCATTGTTAAAAAGGTATTTGAGCAAATTCACAGAGAAAGTGTAGGAACCAGTGCCTCGGAACAACAACATGGCACTGAGATGGTGAACCCTAATCCTTGATCCGGTCAGCCAACATCTGGACTGAGGAATAACTGAAGTTAGAGGCACATGTTGTTGTCATTATCGTAAAATGGAAGTCATTTAACAAGGGTCAGACCCTCACGACACTGAAATATTGCAAAAGTGAGAGGACGTGGAAGAGAAGCTGACACAAGAATTTGGGAAGAAGAATTATAAATTATATAATAAGAAGTTCTTAGGGGAAACAGAAATGGAATTTTTAGGTATTTAATGATGCAGTAAAATATACAGCTGACTTAAAATAAAAAAAATTATTATTAATATAATTATTAGTCCCTTATTTATCCAACAATAGGGACATTTACAATATGAGTCTGTGCAACACACACATTATAAATAGCTGTGGACTTTTTCTAGACCGGATTCTATGCTGTTGACGTG